AGAATGCAGTAGTGGGTTCCTTTAGAATCTCTGTCTTTTTGAACTTCCTACCTGATATGTCATTTCACACATGTTGCAACAATTAGTTACAAGATGTAGTGAACAAAACATTAGCAGCAGTATCGTACTTTTGTCTCAGGTATGTATTTAAACACGCTATTCTAATGATAAAAAGAGAGGCTGCTTTAAGATAAAAGAGAATTTCAGCAAACATGTATATAATTCCTCTATTGGTACAGTAAAGCTAATAAAAACAAACAAACAAAACCCTTTTAGGTTCTTCCTTTTTCTCTTCAAAATAGTTAAGTCTATTGGATTTATATAACTTTTTTTCCCTCTAAAATTCTTTGTGCAATACCTTGCAGAATAATTTCTACCCAATTTTATATATTAGAAATGAACTCCACACAGGTGTGTTTGCAGAGGTAGCACTTTTGTGGTGGTTTATAGCAAATAGTGGAAATGAAAATTATAAGAGTAATGTCATTACATGATAGTCATCTTCTTGTAAAAAATTTTTTTCTGCTAGCATGGAGGGTTTGGAGATTGTTTGTCAATAGGGGATACTCTTCTTTCCTGGAAAATACTCCATCTCTCCATTTAAGAAATACATTTGTCTTTTTTAAAAATGAATTCAAGGGGCGCCTGGGTGGCTCGGTCGGTTAAGCGTCCGACTTCGGCTCAGGTCACGATCTCACAGTACGTGAGTTTGAGCCCCACGTCGGGCTCTGTGCTGACAGCTCAGAGCCTGGAGCCTGTTTCAGATTCTGTGTCTCCCTCTCTCTCTGCCCCTCCCCTGTTCATGCTCTGTCTCTCTCTGCCTCAAAAATAAATAAACGTTAAAAAAAATTAAAAAAAATGAATTCAATAAGGAGAACAATTCACTGATCTTTATAAATAGGACTATAGAATATGGCATCTCTGACTGAAGAGACAAGCTGACTGCTACTGTGGTTATTTCTGTTGCTATTTTAGGAATAGCCCATTAACTCCTGTTAAAGCTTTAGTACTGACTGGCAATACAAGTATTTGAGAACTCAAAAGGAACTGCCGGTGGCATGACTTTTCATATTGACTTTTCATATTGATGTGTAATAATCCGGATGCTTCTAGTTCCAAATAAGAAAATTCCAGCCACAAACTGGCTCAAACAACAAAGAAATTACAAAAGTGTAGAAGTTGTGTGAGTTTCAAGTTTGTTAGATTCTTTTTTTTTAATTTTTTTTAATGTTTATTTTTGAGAGAGAGAGAGATAGAGTGCAAGCAGGGGAGGGACAGAGAGAGAGGGAGACACAGAATCTGAAACAGGCTCCAGGCTCTGAGCTGTCAGCACAGAGCCCCATGTGGGGCTTGAACCCACTAACTGTGAGATCATGACCTGAGCTGAAGTCTGGCGCTTAACCGACTGGGCCTCCCAGGCACCCCAAGTTTGTTAGATTCTGCAGCTCAAGAATATCATTAAGGGCTCAGGTCCCTCCATGTCTCCTGTCTACATTGTGCCATATTAACTTCTTTCCCCGTGCTTATAATATGGCTACGTAAATCAAAGAACTGCTTATTTTCTTACGTACAAATCTCCTCTTTTGTATCCATAGAATAAATCTTTCCCTGTGTTCTAATTTAGCATAAGTCACCTGCCTATTGCTGGGGGAAAACCCTACAATGATCCATCTAGGTTCTTCAACCAGTTACTGGCAAGGGAAGTAGGTGACATGACTGGCTTTTAATTAGGGATCATTCCTGGATCTGGAGTCAATTACCCAAGCTATATGTTTTTATCCATGAAAGAAGGCTGGACTGTATACTGGGGATTTAAGTATAACAGGTTCATTTTTCCTATATAGTAGCCTCCTCTTACAGATGAACATAAACAAAAGAACTTAAGAAAAAGCTATTTAGGGAAGTAAGAATTTGAATAGACATGAAAACAACAGAGATCTAAACTTTCCTTTTTTTCTTTTTAAATTTTTTTTTCAACGTTTATTTATTTTTGGGACAGAGAGAGACAGAGCATGAACGGGGGAGGGGCAGAGAGAGAGGGAGACACAGAATCGGAAACAGGCTCCAGGCTCTGGGCCATCAGCCCAGAGCCTGACGCGGGGCTCGAACTCACGGACCGCGAGATCGTGACCTGGCTGAAGTCGGACGCTTAACCGACTGCGCCACCCAGGCGCCCCAAAACTTTCCTGTTTTTCAACAAGGAGATCATCTTTCACACAAAACCCTATTTGCCTAATGGGAGATTAGCAATAATAAGGACTACATATATCATTAAATTCTAGTTTAGACCTTTTTTGCCTCAGTCTAAATGAATGCCTTTTGGGTAATTTATTCTACGAATTTAAAGATTAACTCCCTATCACATCTGTCTTTCCAGCCTCCTGGAGTCCTGGCTCCTCTTCCTCCTTTTCTGACTAGTATTTGAGTACAGGAAGAACTGGCATTTTCTCAAGTTGTTGGCAGGGGACCTCTGTTCACACAAAGCCGTTTCTGCAGCTTGGTCATGGCTCATTACTACCAGGCTCTGGGTTAAACTATTCTCACAGCCTAAGAGATGGAGATTTTGCAGCTGGTGCACCACTTAGTCTGCTCTAAACAGAGACCATTGTCTCAAGACAATTGCTCCCAGAAAGGTGGGCCATTGCTCTTTGTTTATCAGGTACCAGTCAGGCTCTTTATGACCTGCAGATCACCTGATATCTGACTATAACTTCTACTTGGTCCCCTGGCTTTGGTGATTCCCCATACTTTCAAATATAGCATCCCATAGCTTCTTGCTATTGGGAATTCCCTGGTACCTGGAATATTTGGGTAGCTACCAAAGAGCACTTAGTGACTTCTGAAATTCTTTGGAGCTTTCAGTGGAGGACCTATGGCATTGGACAGGATTAGATGAGCAAGAATTAATTTACTTGCATAAGCTCTTTTGGGACATTAACTCTCTGGTAGGACTCAGTAGGAATAGGCAAAGTCAGGGATATGGTAGCTCTGAGAAGTGTAGAGAAAGCAGTGGTCCACACCAAATGAAGTTGAAATGCCTGAATTATGATGGAAGGGATTAAAGAGTCCAGTAAGATAGGCATGTTGGAATGAGTACATTGTGAGAAGCCATAAAACCCCTCAGAGGAGTATTGTATTTATGAGAGGGTCCAGAGGACATATCAGTCATATTCATCAGGAATATACTGCTTGAGAGGGGCACTGGCATCACTAAGAAGTTCAGTGGTAGCTCTCGTCGGCCGGCTAGGACTTGTATGGGGAGAGGTGGTCACACAGTTTGGCAAGGAGACTGATGAGGACCTAAAACAATAGAGGCCAGGGATGGCACTTTGCCACCAGAAGACGGGGCCTGCAACTATAACAGTAAGCTCAGCAACATTTATTTTTTTTGTCCCCGAAATCTTGATGCATGTTTGTTATAACAACTGTGACTTCCTTAACACAGAAATGTGAAACTTAAAGGGGCTGCCATAACATAAAACTAATACATGTGGTATTAACTTAGACATCATGTACCGGATGGTGAGGAAATGTGAGGATCCCCATTTAGTTAGTAATCCATCTCTGTAAATCAGATGTTTTGTGCAAAACAGCTAACCAGGAGCCTATATCTTATTTTGAAGAAAAGGAAAAACTATAAAAAAAATTATTTATTACCTCTGAAGCCCCAACCAATTTCCTTAAATGTAATTAAACTTAGTAAAATGTCCATGAATAAAAAATTATCTTATTTAAATGAAAAATTGTTTTTTAACTTTATTCTATGTATTTTGAGAGAGAGACAGAATATGAGCATGGGGACGCGCAGAGAGAGAGGGAGAGGGAAAGAATCCCAAACAGGCTCCGCGCGGCCAGCATGGAGCTGACTTGGGACTGGAACGCACATGAATTGTGAGATCATGACTGAAGCTGAAATCAAGAGTCAGACGCTTAACTGACTGAGCCACCCAGGCGCTCCTAGATGACAAATCATAAAATTATTACTTGCCAATAACTAATAATTGCTCTGTCTGTAAAAATGTATTTAGTTTGCATGCTATTCATATGCAAACATCTTTAATACACTTATGTATAATTCTGACATTCTGTCAATTATATTTAAAATGTATCTTAAGATTCACCTCCACTTTTTTGTTTAGAATGTTATATTGAGTTTGGGGAACATAAAATGTGTGTGTATATATATTTATATATACATTGATGTAAATGCATATTAAAATATGAGCTGAAAATGGATTACTGAGTGATATAGCTATTAAATTTGTATACTGAAAATAAAATGTTTCCTGCTGAGAAAATTTTTAAATGGTAGATATTTTACAGGATGAAAGCTGGAGATTCTAGGTATGCACTGAAAAGAGAGTGAGATCAATGGATATGGGTCCCAGTCTTGGAGAAGTTTCAGAGTCAAGGTATTAGATTCAGTGAACTAGGAAGATAAGAGGTAATTGTCAGAAATGTTTAAACTGGAAAAGATTTTGGCATCAAATATCTTCAAATCTAGTAGAAACCAATGTCAGATGGTAATCAAAAAAGACTTTGTCCTGTTCTCTCACCACTTCTCACTCACCCCTGCCAACCCTGGAGGCTTCAGAGGTCTTGAGTCGCATACTAGTGTATGAATCCAAGATGGAAGAGTGACATGGCTGGCTGCCAACCTTCTTTGTTGCAAGCTAGAAAATGGAGAAGTTTTAACTTTGTTATTTTTTTAATTTTTTTTCAACGTTTATTTATTTTTGGGACAGAGAGAGACAGAGCATGAACGGAGGAGGGGCAGAGAGAGAGGGAGACACAGAATCGGAAACAGGCTCCAGGCTCCGAACCATCAGCCCAGAGCCTGACGCAGGGCTCGAACTCCCGGACCGCGAGATCGTGACCTGGCTGAAGTCGGATGCTTAACCGACTGTGCCACCCAGGCGCCCCTTGAGAAGTTTTAACTTTGAACAAGAAATCTTTCCCATATATTCAGAGGTAATTACTTGTCATCCTCTTCTAATTCTTCAGAGCTCCTTTTACCTCCATATCTGTGCATCTCTCAACGGTAATTCTGCAGGTAAGGATACTGCCATATCAGCCAGCCTGGAATGGCTCACGTGTTAGCCCCTATTTCCTTGCAGTCCACCCCAGGTAAGGCCGCCTTTTGGTTCTCAGTGCCTTCCAGGAGGCCTTCATGCACAAAATAAGGATGTTTCCTTCTCCTCCTCCTCCTCCTCCTCCTCCTTTTTTCTTCTTTAATCAAGATGCTATCAATTCCTTACCCCAACCCCACCCTACCCCAGCATGTAGAGGCTTTTCTGTGCCTCACCATTATATTCATAGTTACTTCTGCTTTTCTAGTTCTTTTCGGTCATGTATGACTATTATTTAGCAACAAGATGCCAACTTTTTCCCCCTGCTGAGAAGCACTGTTTCATCTCCACAGTGCCATAATCCATCCCACAGTTGGCATCTTCAAAATACAGTTATTCCTTTTCTCCCTTTCTTCCTTCTCCACTATCTGAGGGAAGATTTAGTATTGTACCTCCACTCCCTCCTGTACCAACGCTTAGGTTTTAGGAGATACAGAATGCCTTGAGGATTTCCTCATAGTATGTCCTCTTTTGTTCCAGGTTTCATATATTTTTTTTTGTTCCCAGAAAGATTATCAGCCCATTAAAATATGACAGTATATAGAGACACACATATTATGTCTGTGGTTATATGCATTAATTAATGTTCATATGTCATCATTTTTCTTTCTCTCCTTCACTGTCTCCAAGTTGCAGTTTTCTTTCTTTTATTTGGAGAATGTTTCCTTCCTCTAGCCCTCCTTCCCTACTTCTTTCTTTCTTTCCTTCTCTTTCTTTTTCTTTCTTCCTTTTTCTTTCTTTCTCTTTCTTTCTTTTTTTTCTTTCTCTTTCTTTCTTTCTCTTTCTTTCTTTTTTGTTTTTCTTTCTCCTTTTCTTTTCCTTTCTTTTCCTTTCCTTTCCTTTCCTTTCCTTTCCTTTCCTTTCCTTTCCTTTCCTTCTTTTTTTCTTTTTCCTTTTCTTTTCTTTCCTCTTTCCACAGACAAAGGACAGTTTATTACAACAAGAGCAGTGGCCAGAATATCATCTTTCTTCTACCAGCTCTCTGAAACCCAGTTCCTGCAGGGTGACAAGGAGAGGGTCAGGTAACACAGGTGCACATGGGGATGTGTTACAGGAGAGGAACCCTATGCTTAGGAAACACAGATTTTTCAAAATGTGTAATAAGACTGCCTGAACTTCGCCAAATAGGGAGACACTATTTTTATTGCAATGGCCAGTAAACGTATCTGCCCTTTGTTTTCTCTGTCTCCCAAAGTTGTTTGCTTTACAAACATCCTTGAAAACATCAGCCAGAGCAAAGGCAGTCTGTTTGTGAAACTGGCAGAATCGAAAGAGACTTAGAAATTGTCTCCCAATCTTCCTTCTCTTCAATTTCACTCTCTCCTCTCTAAATACCCTTCTCTGAATCTTATACTGTCTGATAACCTTTTCTTGTTGCAATCATCTACAAACCTGAGGTTACTTCTAGTTTTCTGAAAATTTCTGAAGAAATCAGTATATTGATTAAATACAATTGCCTTTTGGTTGTATAACTTCTTTTCCTCCATGATCTTAAAATTTACCCTATTTTTTGATTATTTGTGAAATGAAACATCATTTCATATATTAGGTATTTGACGGATAGTATTTTCTTTCAGATGCTTTTGATAGCATTCTTACTCCCTGGCAAGTATGTATAATATTCTAAATTCCAGTATGGCAAATAGTATTGATATATGGCATCTGTTCTCTTTTCTTTTGTTCCTTTGTAGTTATCTTGTTCTTTCTGTCAGAGAGTTTGAAAGGATTTTTTTTTTTGTCTTTTAGATTCAGAATTTGACCATGCTAAGAGCTAAGTATGTATAATTTTTCATCATCCACCTGAAAAACAGGTGAGTCCTTCTGGTTTACAAACTTGCATGTTTTTTTCCTTTAGGAATTTTTAGTGTTATTATTTGTTACATTATTACCCATGTTCCATACTTACATTCCCCTCTCCCCATTTGGACCTATTATATTATATCTCCTGTTCCCTAGCTTCTCCCATACAATATCTATCTCTATATGTATTTGTACTGTAAGATATTTTTAATTAATATTCATTTATTTTTGAGAGAGAGAGACAGAAAGCTCAGGGGAAGGGTAGAGAGAGAGGGAGATAGAGGATCTGAAGCAGGCTCTAAGCAGAGGGCCCGATGCAGGGCTTGAACTCACAAACTTTGAGATCATGACTGGAGCCAAAATCAAACTCTTAACCGACTGAGCCACCCTGGTGCCCCTGTAAGATATTTTTTGAACTTAAACTTTCAAACCAATAAAACGAGTTTCAAATCAATAAACCAAAAAGTCTTAACGAGTAACATGCTTTGCTTAAATCATTTCTTGATTCCTTTAGTTTGCTAAGGCAAACTTGGTTCCTGAGTGTGTCTTATTTTTGTGTGGTGCATTGAAATTTAAGTGCTTTATTATTTGGTTATTCAGGTATTTGTGCAACTAACTCTTCAAATACTTCTGTATCTTTAATTTTTGTGTCCTGAAATCTGACTCACCTTGACTCTCTGACTACTAGACTCCCTTATATAATATGTTATATATTATTTAAATTTACAAACTCATTTTAGCTCATATCTGGTTATTGTCATATTCTTATCATAATCCCTTAGATGGTGAAAGGCAAAGAAATGTTGACCTTATGGGATACAAATATAAATAAATGACCAACATTATCTCAATGTTCCACTTAGCTTGACTGAAATTTATATAGGTTTCTTCTTAACCACAAACTCCTAATCTCCTTTTTCTTAAAGCATTTACCTTAGAAAACTTACAATTGTGAATTTTTTTCTATGCCCCATTTAAAAAGCTTCTTGCATGTTTATAACCCAGGAAAGTCTTTCTTGGAAACCTAGGGGCTATAACTTTGAAATGCAATCATCAAGGAAGATAGTACCCCTATTTCCTAGTCTGTTGGAGTGTAGGAGGCTAAATTCAATGGGCACCAATTAGCAAACAGATGGCTTAATCCCATAGAAAAAAAGGGAAATAATTCAATATGCTTGATGCATCCCATTGATGAACTTACCCCCTAACATTCTCCAGTACTTTTCCGCTAGCACCCTGACTTAAAAACTCTCCTGACTTTTTTTTTTTTTTTTTTTGGCAGGGTTGAGTTTAGTCTCTCACTCCTGTTGTAATAATCTTAAAAAAAACAACCTTTTTTTAAAGTTTATTTACTTTGAGGGAGGGAGAGAGAGAGAGAGAGAGAGAGAAGCATGAGCAGGGGAGGGGCATAGAGGGAGAGAGAGAATCCCAAGCAGGCTCCATGCTGTCAGCACAGAGCCCAATGCAGGGCTCAAACCCACCAACTGTGAGATCATGACCTGAGCTGAAACCAAGACCTGGATGTTTAGCAGCTGAGCCACCCAGGCACCTCTCTATTGGAATAGTCTTGAATAGATCCTTACTTGTTTAGCTTTGGTGCAATTTTTGCTTTGACAGAACCTAGGAAGCCTACTGCTCTGTAATTTCCATCTCAGTGTCAGAAGAGACTCAGCTCACCAATCAATCCTCTCTTGGGCTCTAGGGAGTCAAGGACACTCATTATCTTCATATGAGTATCTTCAGCATGACTATCATGCACAGTCCGCTGAATGTCAAGCTTGTGCCTAGATCTGCCAGTTTCCAATTCTTACCCTAGACGTTGATGCTTTTCTCTAGACACATGCTCAGGCCTATCTGTATGATTAGCCAAATGTCTGCCTAGTCACCCAAACCATGTAATCTTTCAATTATGAAAGTAGTAAATGTTTCTAAGTATTCTAAATGACACAAAAAACTATGAAATAAAAATGAGAGTTCCTACCTTATAATTCCTTTTGGTATAATCCCATTTGCTCAGGGGATTGTCATAAAAATAGAAACTTTTGTATTATTTGTTTTATTTTGTGCAAATGTAAAATCATGCTAATAATATTTTTCCATAACTTGTTGTTTTTAGTCTCTGATATATCTTAAATATATTTAATTCTTGAATTTTGTAAAGTTGGTACCTTTAAGATACTTGTATGCCACACTCTTACATTAAATGTTGGTCAAAATCAAATGCACTTACCAAATTGGAATATATTGTACACATAGTAATTGAATGGTCTGGAAGGAATGAAACCAAGGGTCAAAGAAAAAGTATACTTCTCATGGAAGATTTTATGAACATTTACTTCAAACAGAATTTTCTCTCCTAGGGGCCTTTAAATGTCTCTAGTAACACCAGAAACTACAGAACAATTTTATTAAACTACAGGTAAATTGGTTGAAAATAAACTGGCTGATTTGACAAAATGATCATAATGACAAATTGCTCAACATGACGAATTGGTCAAAAATTAATATTTCTAGTCATTGGCTTCAAATTATTTATAATTTTGTGTGTCGTGGAGATGTTTTGGCAATTTTTACATAACTTTAAGAATTTTTTCCTTTTATCAAAAGTCGGGGAGGGGGAAAAGTAATATATTTTGTGAACTCTCAGAGGGTTTGGAAAATTTGTACAGGTTTCTTAGCATTTTGTCTCAATTTTCTTCTCTAAACATGTCACTGAATGTGCAGTGAGGTTGCCCATACTTCCTTATACAGCTTCAATCTTGAAAGCAGAAATCATTTGAAATTGTAGCAATAAGAGCATAGCACAGTAAAAATTATGCTTAAAATGTTTCTGGAAAAACCTTGCTTTAAAGTAAAACACATATGCAAAGGGAAAAGACAAAAACATGATTGAAGTAAATGAAGTGGACATTGACAGAATACAAATTAATTAAAAAAATAATAACTTTAAAAAATAGAAAGTGTTATCCAAATGATGGTTAAAGTTCTGAAATTTGCCTTCAGACAAGTCACCTGCAGCTAGAAATAAAATAAAAAATTCATGAACGTAAACCCAATAAGCATTATGGTTAAAAGAGAATTTTTAAAAATAGAACAGAAATGTAAAGATACAGAAGTTGCAAACACCTCTATGTGTACAAAGTTAATAATATATGAAAGTAATCAATGTCTAGAAATACATTTGCCATTTCAACTAACTCATTTGTGACCAGCTATTTCAAATTTATATTTTGAATCAATCACTTAACGCTTAGCAGCATGAAGCCAAATTGTCCACAATAACTTTAATATATTTGCTGCTTCTGTGGAATTAACAAGATTTTCTCTACCATTCATGAAAAGGGTGTGGGGCAGGTATAAACTCAAATCTCCATAGGAGAAATTTTGCTAACATTTAATATACTATTTGAAGTAAAAAAGTATATTTTATGTGCAGCTTATGAGTTGAATTTATCTTTATAGACAAACATATATCTCATAGAATGGATTAAAATTAATTTCCTTTAAAATATATTTTCAGGGGCTCCTGGGTGGCCCAGTTGGTTCAGTGTCTGACTTTGGCTCAGGTCATGATCTCATAGTTCGTGGGTTCAGGGCCCACGCTGGGCTCTGTGCTGACAGCTCAGAGCCTGGAGCCTGTTTCAGATTCTGTATCTCCCTCTCTCTCTGCCCTTCCCCTGCTCACAGCCTGTCTCTGTATCTCAAAAATGAATAATTATTTAAATATTTTTAAATATTCTATTTTCAGATACTAAAGTGGACAAATTTAGCCCACATTTATTTGTTTGTTTGTTTGTTTATTTCTTTATTTCTTTATTTCTTTATTTAATTTTGTGAGTAATGCAGAAGCCTCCATTATCTGTCTTTGTGTTCTTGTTTCCTTCTAGCACCTGAAACTGGGAGCACATCACAGAGCAGGCATAAGACTGACAATGGAACTATTCTGGGCAACATTGTCATTAAGGGACATGTGACAATTTCCAAAAAATGCTCCTTTTAGAAACATGAGAAAAAACCCACTTTTTTTAATCTTCAGGAAAATGAAGTGATTCCTTAAAAGTAAACACAGCATTAAGGCAAAACAGTCTTTCCTTAAAAATCAAAAATATTTAAGGGGCTCCTGAGTGGTTCAGTCAGTTAAGTGTCCGACTTTTACTTGGGTCATGATCTCATGGTTTGTGAGTTCAAGCCCCTCATTGGGCTCTGTGCTGACAGCTCAGAGCCTGGAGTCTGCTTCGGATTTTGTCTCCTTCTCTCTCTGCCCCTCCCCGCTTGTGCTCTGTCTCTCTGTCTCTCAAAAATAAATAAATGTAAAAAAACAAAAACAAGTTTAAAAGAAAATAAAAAATATTTTGAGGAATCTGTCGCTACTTAAAGGAAATTCATTTCAGTGGCCTAAGAGGTCACCAGTGAGAAATGTCTCATTTCTAAAGGAAAGCTTTACTTCAAACAAACAAGATATAACATAAAAACAAAACTTGTTCTTATCAGAATTATATACTTTTAAGTATCCAACATATTCAAACTTCTAGAAACAATGTAGGAAGACAGAGCTCTCTTGAAATGGACCTGTTGCAGTGTAATCAGATGCCAAAGAAAACATTTCATTTGATAATAAGCAAATATTAACCTAAGAGCACTTTAAGGGAAAATGGAATGCAAGAGTCACCAGTGGATCTTAGAATAGTGTCTCTATCATACTAATAAAGCATGTTTATATATTGCCCAAGAATATAGCTTATTCCCATTTTCATCTTACTTTTATTATACTCAATGCTCAAGTGCTTATAAGTCCTACTCTAGTGCAGAAATACTTAAGGAAGATAACTCATCAGTTTGACTTTCTTGAGGAATCAAATAGAAAGGTCTAATGCAAGATACCGTCTCTGAATAAGAAGAAAATGAATAAAGTAGAAGAAAGTGAAAAATGACAATATTCCTGGGTAAATCTCAGGATTCTTTGGAATGTTACTAGTTGGAGACTTTTTGCCAGGAAATATTAGTTTGAGAAAAAATGAATTCAATTTAAAAAGGAGGAAAATCAATTAGATTCAATTTTAATAATTCTTCATTTAGAATGAGTGTGTGCGTGTGTGTGTGTGTGCATATAGATATAATACTCTATGTTCTAGTCCTGTAGTGATGGAAATCCCTTTCATTTATTGAAAATAACAAAACAAAAAGGGTTGGGATAGTAACAGCTTTGCTTTGTTAGCAACTTCTCAGGATTCTGTAATAGAGACATTAATTTGGGTTATTTTGCTGGGAAGCTGAATAAGATCAGAACTTTATTTTCTTCACAGCTTTGTTCACTACACTGAATCCATTTGAAAGTCCTCAGAAATTTCACCAGCCTGGACTAGTCGTAAACACTATCTCAACTCTGGTTTGAATAGGACTTTTCAATTCAGTCTGATAATCCTGGTGGGAAGCTGTCCATCACCCATATGAAAGAATAAATGTGCTTGTTTAAATAATCAGTTTTCTAGAATTTTGGTCAAATGTTTATATACTGCCCAAAGTCCTTTTTTTTTTTAACTTATCAAATTTTGGATCATCCACAAATGCCTTAATATATTAGGTTATATGGTCAAAATGCAGAATATTGAATTAATATTTTTAAATAAACATATGAAGGGTGCCTGGGTGGCTCATTTGGTTGAGTGTCTGACCCTTGGTTTCCATTCAGGTCATGATCCCAGGGTCATGAAATAGAGCCCTGCATCGGACTCTGTTCTAAGTGTGGAGCCTACTTGGGCTTCTCTCTCTCTTCCTCTGCTCCTCTCCCTTTGCCCCTCTCCCCCACTCACACTCCCTCTCTGTCTGTAAAACAATAAAAATAAAAATAAATAAAGTAAAATAAGTGTACCATAAGCAAGAATCTCTAACTTTATGCTTTTAAAATTCTTGAAAATATCCCCGTCTCTATTTCATAAACAGACTCAACAGCGTGGTTTGGGGGATTACTGCTCTTTATAATGCAAACTTGCTCTTTTCAAAATTGTGATTTTAAAAGTTTTCTAAATGATGTAGTACAGTGTTGGCTTTTAGAATAGTAAATAATAAGGTCTCTCAATGGTACAACTTCTGTGTAACAAATAAATCTAGCCTCTATAGCAGTCCTTGACAAGGCCCTAGGTAACAAATTGCAGACATTTAAGGAGCAGCTTCAAACATAAATGCATTTTGCAGATCATTCAGAAAACTTTTGCTACCAGGATTTTCAGAACACAAGAAATACATATTCCTGGGTGTATGAGGATTGGAGCAGCCTCAGTCTGAGGAAGCTATCGCCAAAACTCTGTTCACAGTTGTAAGTTTAAAGATCATTGATCCTGACATATGACATGTCACATTGAGTATGAAATTTCAAATTAAAAATAATGCAGCCCAATAAATAGCACATCACACGACATGGCATCAGATGCTGGCAAAACTTTTGCTCTTTACAGTGTTGCGTGAGCAGTGACAAACAGAATACCATGAGGGAAATTACCGTGTCATATTTCAATATACGAGGGAGAAGAACATGGTTTAAGATTGGCAAGTGCACATGTATATTTGCACAGTGCATAAAAGGTGCTTGAATTTCTGTGGTAGTCTGTGTTTTAAAGACAGGTTGGATGAGCACAGGGTAGGAGTGTCTGCACACATCAGAAAGGAAGTCTGGAGGCAGCAGTAGATGAACTTTTATCACAGAAATCAGCAGATCATTAGCCAAGTTTGTCTGCTGGCTACAGAGCAGATGGCTTCTGTTGCATAGGGACTGGTTTGGGAAATAAAAGATTTTCAAAGAAACCTGTTCATTGCACTTAAATGTGTGTACTTATAAAATTTTTAAATACATATTTATGCCAATTACAAACAATTGCTAATTGATGCATATTCCTGAGGATAATGAATTTAAAAAGTGTATTCTACAGTTAATACGAAGTGAATAAAGATGAGTAGCCCAACAATCTTGGGACTCTTCCCAAATATTGCTGGAATTTGAAACTAGTAAAATGTTTGTGTAGGAAGATTACATTTGGATAAAGAAGACTCTGGAAATCCAGGTAAGTTGTTTCTAAAACGTAAACACCTCTATCACTCAGTTGGTTAAGCACCTGACTCTTGGTTTTGGCTAGGGTCATCATCTACCAGTTTGTGAGATCGAGCCCTGCATTGTGGAGTCTGCTTGAGATTCTCTCTCTCTCTCTCTCTCTCTCTCTCTCTGCCCCCACCCCTTACATCCTTTCTCTCAAAAATAAAAAAAATTAAACATTAAAAAAATACATGTATTTTCAAATTCTAACAAAATTCTGGTCAATATGGTAAGCCAAGCTAATATAGAAAGACAACCCCACTCACTGCAAATACATGCACATGACACCACGTACATATGTTAGGTATAATATAATACTTTCAAACTATACAGTTTTTCAAATAAGTAAAGGAGTGAACAATTTCTAGAACTAATAGGTAACCAGAAAATAATTTGGTCCACGTTAGCTGCAGTAGGAAACAAAAGGCTATAAGAATCAAGTAAAAGCCTTGAGGTGGTGGCTTTAATGCTCAAATAGAAATGAAGAATAGTGTCTCAAGCTTGTTCAATACAGGAACTAGGTATAATCCTGAGTAAATCAGGGATCCACTGACTAATCCCATCCAGGGATAGGATCCTGAGCGGCTGTGCCTACTGACATTGGGAAGCTGCATGTAGGTACCAATCTAAGTTGGGATATGAAAGGATAAAGACTCATTGAGGAGGTACAGGAACCTCAAGCTTGACTCATTGCTGTGGGGCCGGATACAATGCTCCCTAGAAGATTCTAGAAAACTGAGCTGAGAAGTCAGCAGAAAACTGCTTGAGAACAGTTGAAACTCACAGGGTCCTGATTAAAAACAACTTAAAAGCTGGTCTGGACAAACCCGTGTTTGGGGAGTGACTATAGAAAACAATCCTCATTGAAAATGAGTTCCTAATCAGAATGTATGATAAAGGCTAGGAAATTTATATACTGTGAACTAGAGAGAAGAAAAAAATACAAAATAATGTGTTAAAAATATTTAACAAGATTTAAAACAATTCTGGTGATCTGGCATACTTGATGTCTGGATAAACTATTCCTGAAGAGAACACCTAAGAATCCTGGATCATATATTTAAAATATCTTTTTAAATGCATAGTTGAACTGGTAGGAGGTAAGACAGAAACATCAGAGGTCAAGAATTATGATAAACGTGAATCTGCAAAGTTAAAAGACAAAATGTGGCATTTTCCCTAATTTCCCCTAATGTGGCATTTTTCTCGTCTGTGTGGTGATATGAGTTTTTTACTTTTTTCATAGCAAAATCACGTTATTCAAGTGTAAGAAGACTGGCTTTTTGGAGCCACAGTGCTTGTTTATTACATGAAAAAAGAAAGGAAGAGCACCTTAGTCATTGTTAGCCTGGTGAAGTAGCAGCGGTGGAAAGGTTTTAGTGACCCTGAGTTAGATTTTAGGAGTTTGAGATTCAGCCCCGACACTTCTTAAAAATAAAAATATAATATATAAAATATCCAGAGCTTAAGTGTATGGCTGAATAATGTTTACAAATGGATAATTGGTACCTCCATTATGAAAAGGAGTATTAGGACAGACCAAGAAACCTCTCACATATACACCCATTCAATAACCAACCAGAAAAAAATGTTATGACTTCTATCATCCTGTATTTGTTTTGCCTTTTATTGCACCTTGCAAAAATTAAATCTCTTGTCTGTCTTTATTCAGACAACATAATGAGTATTAGATGTTCCCATGCTGTCTTTATGTATGTCTACTCTTCAAGGATATTTGGGTTGCTTGCATTTTTTGTCTATTACAAACAATGCTACCGTAAACATTCTTGTACATGTAGTTTGGTGAATATATGTATACTCACTTCTGTTGGTCATATACATCAGCATGGAATGGCCAAGTCACAGGGCATACATATATTGAGCTTTAGCAGATACTGGCAAACGGTATCCCAGAATGTTTTTTTCTCACCAGTAGTGTTTAAAGTTTCAGTTGCTGCACATTCTGGCCAATATTTCATAATGTTAGGCTCTTTAGTTTTGCCACCGTATTAGGTACGAGGTGATATGGCATTGCTGTATTCACTTGCTTTT